GCAACCACTCAGAACAAGGGCGATCCAAATGAAAATCAAAATTTTGAAAATGTTCTGCCGTGGGAACCGTGCCGCAACGCTTGTCTCTTGTCTCTCTTTAATACTTTTTACTAGCTGACAAATTACGCTGCCCGTGTAATCAGATAACAGCCTAAATTTTTAAAAATATTCATCTGTTTTTCGATGAGCGGTTTTAAGTCATTTCATAGGTTTTCCGACGAAGTTTTTGCTTTCAAGGGGTGACCGAATTTGTCACGCAATATAATGTTACAAAATGTCTCTGAGAGCAAAGCTGAAAGCTCTAAAACCACTCACAATTTCTTTGTTTTGGAAGAAGGTCGATCAAACAGCTTATTACAAACTTATAAATTAATTTGTAGTATTCAAAGAAATATAGGCTTTCAAAAATGCAATACGTGTTGTGGAACGAACCGAAGTTGAAATCTCGTGGTTGTTTTGATTGGTTGTATATTATTAACTCAGTGTTGACATACACGAGTCTGCAATGAAAGCGTTTTTAGCACTTATTCGGCACAATGAGATGAAAATCAAAAGGTAACAGTTACATATGTGTCTATTATCCGATATTCAAGCGGTAAGAAACATGTGGAAGGTTTTCCAGAGCAATTTTTAAATTGTTTGCGTAGGTATGTAGGGAAACATGTTGCCCCGTAATTTGATTTAGGTGGCAAAATGGTCTTCACGTTTCCGTTTCTCTACGGGACACTTTTTGCGGGCCGCAAAAAAAATTTCACACAACAAAGTATAAAAGGATGTGCTTTAAAACCATACTAGTTTTGGCCTCAAATTCTATGTACCAGTGGGCTTTTCTTGGGGTAGAAGTAAGCGAAAATTAGCCTAGTCGCACAAGCTCTTCAAGTGGGGTAACTAAAACGGCCAGAAACAAAACTATTTTGACAGCTTTTCAAAAGTAATCTAGTGTTTTAGAAAGAGCAAGTGAAGTGCTATGAAATGTCAAAAGTACATTGCTAGATGTTATCGCGTTTACCAGCACGAGCAAAACGAAAATGCATCATTTTTGTTCGTATCAAGAAATGGTCTATTGTACCGGGTCCAATTCACCAAAACAATACCCTTTTGTCCTAGTTGTTGCTGCCGAAAACAGACCGAACAGTCTGTGCATGATCGTTTAATCTTCGGCGTGACAAATTTGTAATATTAGGGGGGAGGAGAGAGGTTTTTTATGCCTTGACGCGATGCTATTTTAACTGGGGTACTGAGGGGAAAGTTTCGCCACGAGGCGCTCGTTGTCAAGTAAAACATAGGGGCGTAAACGTTTCCTGTTTGCTTATCTTACATTACTACCAGATATGATAAATTAACAAGTGAGATTTATTGCGGCACACAACGCAGGAGTGCATATTTTGCGGGTCGAGCAAGAAAACCGTTTCACTTTTGATCGTATCGTAATTTTTTTCTCAGCGCTCTGAACAAGAAAATATTATTTCGGAAATACTTTACAGAGAACGTTCTTAAACCGTTATTAAAACAAGCTCAGTATTATTTGCGCGACCTACACTGAAAGGTGCGATCTTTGAATGTAATTCATACCTTTTTTCTAATTTTAGAGCGCGCAAAATGCGTCCCATAATTCTCTTAAAATAAAAATGACAAGCGAGTCTACAACAGATTAAACGACTTTCATTCTTATTCTAAACGACTTTCATTCTTATTCTCACCCAAGCGGCCCAGAATACGTTTTAAAGATCTTTGTAATCCACAAATTTTTCCTGCTGAACTGAATTATTATCTGCGCAACTTTATTCTCTCGAGAAAAGAAAAAAAAAAGATTTTAGTCTTCAGTTCACTTTTAGGAGCATTTCGAAACGTTAATTAAAGACGAAATGCTTTGTTAGCTTGTAGGCGGAACATTACGAAGGTGAGATTTTTGAGATCATTGTTGTTCGCTTATTGTTGTCAGTATTGGCGAGGGCAATGAACTCTCGATCAGTTCCTCTCTATAAAAAAATGGTCAAGTGAGTTCGACAAAAGAAAATACATATGAGTTTTAAGTTCACTATGAAGAGCATCTCTTAAAGCGAACGAAGTGTTTTGTTCTGCCCGTGTAGGCGGAACTTTAGGGAGGTGTGATTTTTTTGCGATCATTGTTCTCGTTCACTTGGTGTTTTGGGATTAATCCTTGGCGGCGCGTGCGATGTTTGCTTCCATTATTGTCGTATGATAATTAGCTTTCTATATTCGACTATATAGCACAATATGGATCATCATTTTTAACTCAGCTTTGTCGCAGATAGATCTCTCGTGTTAGAATGTCGAAGTATTATGAGGTATCAAAAGTTCTGGGCGTGCGATCCATCGGCGGTAAAAAAGAATACAGAGTGAGATGGAAAAATTTTGGAAGTTCGGCCGATTGTTGGGTGCCGGAGGCCGATTGTAACAGAGCGATCAAAAAATTTGCTCAAAATTCACTGAAAGGTAAGTTAACTTAAACTGAAGTGAATTGAACTCGTTTCACCAGCACTTATTTATTGTTGATTGAGATTTAACTTTTTTTTTTCATTTGTTTCAGCAAGAGAAAAGAGCATCGATTATTTGGTCTGTGAGATAGGACAGAAACTCTCCGTCCGAACCGCTCCAGAAAAAGAGTACATTCGCCGCACTACCGTGAAAGTCCCGATGGATCGAGAAGTATTTGAAGACCTGTTCTGTGGTTTGAGTCGCAGCAGGAACAAGTTTGATGTGATGGCTGAGGACCTAGACAGTCTCCTTCCTGCTGGATGGTCAGAGAAAGCCTTCCGAACCAGAACTAGATGTGTCGTTTGCAGAAGGCAACCGATTTCAATCCGTTTTGCCAATCAAAGGAAGTTGCACTACGACCATTCGGAATGTCCTAGGTGCCAGTGGTCTGGAGATGGTAATAAGCCGACTTTGTGTCAAGCAAAGAAGACCTGGCCAGTCGATCTCAGCTATCTGTTCTTGACTTTTAGCCGAGAAAGAAGTCAGGCCTACTCTGGGACCTTAACTCGCCTTAACTCGCCTTAACTCGCAACTTGAGATTATGTTCAAATTTCCTTATCTCGCCTTAACTCGCCTAAACTCGCATTATCTCGCACAAACTCGCCCAATCTCGCCACTGCCAAGTGGATACCAATTTTATTATCTCATCCTACTCTCAGTGTAATTTCACAATATTATTACTCCATAAAGGGAAGACCCCAAAGGATACAAATTTTAAAAGTTTAAAAGATAGTGATTTTTAAGGAAAACAGGGTTTTTACCTTTAAAAAATATGTAATTGACCAATCCCATCCTTCTGGAATTTCTAATAGCCTCTGTGGTTAGGGTATTTCACCACTAAAGAGTTGATGAGATTTTTCTTACTTAACATTGTCATGCCTTGGAGTCACAACTGGACTGTCAATGGAACTACCAGGAACAGCCTGAACATGCACTAACTCATTGCCCAATGAAAAGGCTTCAGTGCTAAGCATGGCAGAAATTCCAGAGGCATGGGGTCACAGGGTCTTACAAATCCCATGTTGACTGTTTGTGTTTTGGTCCACAAAGTAAGTGACATTAACTAAAAGCACAAACAGTGAATCCACGGAAAAGTTTTCATAAAATAGTTTAAGTTTTAGTCTTACACTTCTACGTGAGACAAAGAAACACTCTAAAGTCAAGCTTGCTTTGAATCTCTCATTTGCAGTTAAAAATATTATCCTATGATTTGTTTTTAATTTTTGGCTTAAAATAACAAATCTCAAATTTAGAGTAAAATACAAAAACATAATACCAGAATATTAAATTTTTAGTTTTAAGCTGGTTAATGATTTACAAAAATGTTTACTTGTAATGGAAAGTTTAATTACTTTGCAAATATAATGCATGCAAGCTGCATGTTTATGACATACATGTATGAAGAGTAGTAGCATACGTATCATCTTATAATCTGATAAAGCTTAATGAGGATTCTAGCTGGCAATCATCAATGAAAGGCTAGGATGTAGCTAGAATCGAGAATCCTTTAAATACACCACATACTGATTGCAGTCCATATTTCTTATAAATAATTCTTATAAATATTTACCTCGTACTAGAAGATCTGTACATTGGTTCAACGTGACATCCTGTATGGCCTACATTGTAGTCAGACTGGCAACCATAACCCAGCATGATTCATAAAGACTCGTTACATTTAGCCCTTAACTGAATAAAGGATCGCTTAAGGTACAATTTCAGCATTGATAGCCAACTTCGTTCGCCATCTTTGAAATTACCCAGAAGATACTGGTAACTCGTGTCTTCCCAGGGCCCTCTCGCTCAGCCTATTGTCCTCAAGACGCATTCTGGGTAATTTTCAAGATGGACGGGAAAACTTCTGGAGAAAAGGGGGAGAACTGGTGCAAAACTTTTAATGTTAAATCTAGAAGTTTCAAAATGTATCACATGCAGGTAAGCTAAGCTAAAGCCTTTTACCCTTGCAACGTTAACTAACTCTATCAAAGCCTTGTTGATCCCAGTCCCCTGGCAAGTTTAGGCAGGAAGCTTCAATGTGGCGTACGTGACATGACAACACGCACAGAACGCCTGAGCCGGTGATCATTTTGTAAAAATGCGAAGCAGGAAAGATTTATCAGTGACAACTCTTAAGAGTTTGGAAGACAAAGCCGATAGTGGAGAGTGTTTTCTTGTTAATCAAGTTAAATAAGGTATAGTCCTCTGCACAACTATGAACACGTTCTGACACTTTGTAAAAAATAAGTAAGCCTGAACAGAAAATATGGTCATTTATTTTTTGCTGTTTTGCTAGGCTGAGAATGATAAAGAGTTTACTATCAAGTTAACTTGATCCTCCTTTCTTTTGTAGAAATCAAGGTGTCTCTCACAGGATTGTCCAAGTTTAAGGAGGGAGTTTCTAAAATACGGGAACTGCTGTCTTTGCGAAAAGGCACCAGCCTTCATTTGCAAGAAATTTAAATAGATTATCCGAGGAAACAAAAAGGCAATCATTTCTGGCAGTGAAAACAAACAATTGAGCTGGATTCCAAGGGAAACCATCAGGGAAGTGGAGAGAATGGGTCAAATGGAAGACTTAAAGATAAGTCTTATAATTTTCAAGGAGAAAGAAATTTCATTTCATTTCAGTAAAATTGATTGTGTCATAAAAATTTCGTCAGCTGAGTTGTAATTCGTCAGCTTCCCTGGTTTTTTATACTAGTTCTTTGAAGAACATTGACACAGACTGCAAAAACTTTTTTTTTTCCAATTCTGGAGTTAGTGATAACAATTGATGACATGTCATGTGATACCTATTATGCTCACCTGCCTATTAAAACATAGTGTTATTGATTTGAAAAAAGTAAATAAAATAAAATATCCTACCAGTGCTTATACCACAGCTACATTTTTTTTTTATCAATTCATGATTGTTTTGTTTTCATTTTTTTTCTTCACTACTGGTAATTTATTATTCTGTCAAATAATTATATAGCTTTAATAAATAATATATGATGATGATGATGATTATTATTATTATGATACAGCCACCAAATGGTATAGTTTGGTGTCTAAATGCTATATAATTAATAAGGAACAGGACTCCATGTCACTAGCATATGCATACTTAAGCTTGTCCAATTAGGAAAATAATTCAATTAATAAATTAAAACAAGAGTTGGCTTCATTCAACTTTGGAGCTCATCTGAAATTTTTTGTTTAATTTTTTCGTAATTGGACAACATGGAGCCTACTATATATATAAGAAATACAAAGATTGCAAGGCATCTTTATATGTACATTACTAAAGCACATTATAAGTTTTAACCCTTATAACCTCAACATAAGGTGGATCATTTTCCCCTAACTCACCTTAACTCGCCTTAACTCGCACAAACTCGCAACTAATAGGCGAGCTCAATTTTTCCTTATCTCGCCTTAACTCGCTTAAACTCGCATCAGCTCGCACAATCTCGCGGCGAGTTAAGGTCCCAGAGTAGGCCTGAAGTCGCCAAGAACAAATTAAAGATGGTACGTTCACTATGCTCATTACTTTTTCGATGTGCCTTAATCCATTACTGATATAAATTTGTCCTTTAATTCGCGCAATTTGACTTAACATTTGCTTTTGTTTAATTCAAACTTTCCTCGATTTTGAAAAAACTCGAGCTCTTTGGGATCTTTTAATTGTATTTTCGAAAATAACTCACTGAGGGCTTTATTTGGGCAAAATATGGCGGTGAAGAAAGTGAAAATTTTGAAACTGTCGCCGGATTCTCGATATTTACAGAAACTGGCTCTTAATTGCAATGTGTTTCCAAGGACTCAAAGTTAAAAAAATTCCAACCGTTATCCATGATTCCGAGGTATAATAAGTTAACTAAGGTCCAGATCGTGTCCCATCCAGAAGTCCAACCAATGTCGAAAGCAAGTCGTAGATCGACGAGGAAAATATTTTAGCGATTTCACCCCCAATCGTCAAGGGTACGAGTTGAAATTTACGCGACTTAACCTCCCATCGTCAAGGTGTTGTACTGTAAATAAGAAACGAAAAAAACTGAACTCCAACTCTGCTCGGCAAAAACTGGCGAACTCTGACTAGGAAAATCAATCCAAAATCCCGTCCCCACAACCAGACGCTACTAAAACCTTAAGAAAAAGCTAGCCCTAAACAAAAAAAAATCATGAGGGGAAAACCCAAATAAAAAGAAATAATTTGGCATAGGTCGCTTCCCGTGACTTGCCAGTATCCCGAAGGATTTCGCTGCTTCATGTATAACAAGCCATCCTAAACTCCAAGTGGGAAACCGACAAGCGACAAATTTGGGACGTTCTGAAACGTTCTTCAGAGGAAGCAAATCGATGAAAAATCGATAAAGATTTTGTATAATCTTATTGGTCGGCTTGGAAGAAGAAATAATCGATAAAGATTTTACGCAATTCTATTGGCTGGCTTTCCAAATTGTTCGTACAATTATGAAAAACAAACCAAACCGGATTTATACCTTGGTGTGCCACAGGCATCCGACGGAAATAGCATCAAAAGACTTCAGTCAGTTCAGAATGCAGCAGCAAGGGTTGTCATCTTAACAGGCAAAAGAGAACACATCACCCCCATCTTAGAAGGGCTCCACTGGCAACAGTTGAACAAGTTTAAAATCTCTTTATGTTCCCTCCTCGGGAAACCCCCCCCCCCCCCCCTGCCTACAGCCGAGCTTTGTTTGCTAGAGCGCCTAACTTAGTAAACAAAGAAAACCGAGACTGTGGTCTGGGATTAAAATCATGGCCAAGTTAATAGCCGGTTTTATTCAAAACTGCGAAATCATCTTACGAAATTTATAGGTCTAGCAAAGGTGAGGGCCAGAAGAAAAAGGCAAATAAACTACAAAATATACCTAAAGCAAATAAAATAGGTGGAAGAGTGGGGCGGAGGCGGGTCGATTGCTTGTTCAAAGGATAAGCGGGTAAGCTATCGAAGATTCGGCTTGAAGTCAGCTTTCAGACCGAAAGGATTTTTTAACAAAAGGTTACACCTTCTTATAAAGGGTTTCCGTGAGATGAGTTGATGAGATCGAGGCTATGTAAATTTACTGGTAGTGGCCTTATCATAGGAACTCGTGATTATTACCGAAAGGTAATTGTACTTTCCGTCTTGTGATTCTCATGCGATCGTAAACCATTGCAAGATAATTCAAAGTTCACATGCGAGAGCGTCTAAGCGCCTAAGCGTCCCCACCTCCCAAAAATCCATACATTAAAGAAATTGAAAGTAGACTACGAACAGTCTCTCTTTTTTCTTGGTGGACTATCTGGTAATTGTCTACTAATTATTCACTTCATATTTTAATTTTTAATAACCCCCAAATCCAATATTTTCCCATTTTCATGAAATTTTCAACAACTCCCCCTTAAATTTTATACATTCAAAACGCCCGAAAAATCATCCAAAAATTCACAAATAATTATTGAGTTAAGGACTGTAACTCAATTGAGTCATTTTTAGATTG